GCGCTCCCGGGACGTGCCAACTTAGGGGCGGGGCTTAGCATACAGGGGGCGTGGCCTGGTCATTGGGGCGGGGCTTGAAGCAAGTCCTTACCCCTTGTGAGGGCCCTAAAAAGCCTCCATGGACATATATAAAAATATATTTGAAATTATTAAAACATTAAATATATTAAAATATATTTTGAAATATGTAATATAAAAATAAAAGATAGGAATTGGGATATAAAATCCACAGCAAGGTTGCACATTGCCATAAGGCAACGGAAACCACGCCTGCTCTCTTAATTAAATGTATGGTGTTAATCAGGTGTCATAGCCCCCTTCTCCCCCTGCAATCCTGCTCAAATTCCCCCTTCCCAGGGGACATTTGGTTAAAAAGTGGGGCAGTTTGGAGCCCCATTCCCATCATGGAAACTTCTATTATTTTAATTAGAATAAGCTGAAGATGCAGCATTGGCACTAGCAAATGCTGGTGTCTCCTGAGCAGCAGCTATTCAAGTCACAGGGCTAGGGGGTAGATGTTTAAATCAGCATAAAATTAGCATGCTCCCCCATGCTGGCCTTGCTCTTCTACAGAAATATTAGTTCTTAAAGACACTACTTGTCAGAATGTCCTTCATGGAGGAGTTAGGTGCCTCTTTCCCCATTTCTTAGTGCAAGGAAAAGGCTGCTGCTTGGTAATATCTGAATAATACCTGACATAAGGGTGAGAAGTGCTGTTCTTAAGTACAAAATGAATATACCACTACCAGTTATGTTTAAACTCTGCATATGGATCTTCCTGTGAAACAGAGGAGACAAATCATCAAGAATTTGATTGTAAATATGCAAGTTGGTAGAAGCTGCAAGTTTTGTGGCTTTAACCACTTAGATTTTGAAACAGAAGCATCGCTGGAGGAAGGACAAGTTTCTGCCACTCTGGGCTACTTTTTCTGTACTGAGGATGTGGAAGCAGACAAAATTACAACAAGAGATGTCTCTTTTATTAACAGTAATTCATACGGATTCCACCACTCCGATCAGTGTTTATTTTCTGTTAATAAAAATCATTTTTGACAAAAGTTCGATTGCATTTTCTTACCGGCTACCACATCTTAATCCTTCCCTGCGGCAACTGCAAGCGGCCGGAGATGCAATAAGTTAGATGGGAATGTGTAAGTGGCAATGAGGGAAGGGACATGGAAAAGGCTCAGTATCAGCCAGCCACTACTGTAACATCATACAAAATATTTACCAAATTGAGGAGTAAAAACTACATGCAGAAAGACAGACAGGCTGCTTGACATCCGGGAGACACCAGATGAGGCTCGCTAGGATATTCCCACTTCGGTGCTGTAACATTTAGCCCACAGAAGCCAGGATGACATCGACAGGCATCTCCTCCTTGCTCCTGACTGTCACCTGCATGGTCACTCCATCTCCTAGTGCAAGCCTGGATCTTACCAGCACATCGTGGCCACCTCTGTACACACCTGGCGACACAAACAAGATTTGGCACATTTATTATTATCTATAATATATATTATTTGACCTTAATATTATTTGGCAGCCTGGGCCACAATTACTAAAGAATTCTGTGAACTGCCAATTTAGGAGATGTTTTTGGTGACTGGAAGTTGACAATGGGTCCCAGGAATCCCCAACCAAAAGAGCAATTTTTAGGGAATTGAGTTTGAGCATCTTCTCTGGAAGTCACTCCACTCACAGGTTTCAGAACCCTTCCCCTCAGGAAGAATGCCTCTGTCCTGCATTTTGCTCGCTGCTCACCTCAGCTTTCTACAGGAAAAAAAAGCTCTCTATTCAAGAACAAAAATCTCTTAATTCATTTCCCTTCGTGTAGGAGAAAAAAAAAAAGAAAAAAAAATCTGTCTGCATGGGGTGAAGGAAACACGGAGTGTGACAGTGTGAGTACGTACCGGCTAAGTAGAGCGTGTGGGAATTTTTGTTCTCTGGCACTTTATCTGATCTCTCACATGGCTGCATGCCCAAGAATTTGATGATGTTACTGACAGCTTCTGCATTCAGAGATTTAAAAGATCGTTATCTCCACACTGATGACAAGCTTTCTGTCAGAATTAACTCATGGTTAAAGAACAAACTCAAAGCAACCACGTGGCTTAACCATTTCCATTTGCAATTCTGGTGACAACCCCACCAACACACCTACCTTGTGATGTTCCTGCTGCTGTTTTAACAGCCTAGGAGTACATCCCACCCCAAAAACCAGTCTCAGCAAGAGAACACTGCCAAGTTTCCAGTCACTACAACCTCATGCTGCAACACAGCCTCGCTGCTAGCACGTTACATTAGAAAATTCTCCTACCACACCAAGTATTCCCCCATTATGGAAGAATCAAGGATAACTATGGAGTTGCCAACAAACAAGGAGGAGAGATCATCTCACCGTCAAGGGTTTTAATTGAGCTAAGTGCAAAGGTTTCTTCCTTCTCAAAGTTGTCTCCTACTTCTTCCCATGCAGCTGCAAAGTTGGGCTTTAGGACCTTCTGAATATGGTCAGACACGGTCACCTCCAAGTCTTCCAGCTGGCAGAAAAGGAAGGGATATTTTCAGCTACCAGTTACATAAAGGATCCTAATCTTAGAAAGAGGAAAAGAAACAAGGAGGGACAGCAGCATCTTGCCAAAGCAACTCTGGCATGCTAGACTTTGATTAGATACTAACAATATCTAAAAAGCACGGAAGAAAAATAACATTCATCGTGGTCACCTGCAAAGCTTAAAGCATTTACACAAAACAGCAGTGAGACCAAAGGAGAGCAGGAAATACTGCAGGTGCTCAGCAAATCAAAGTCCTTTCTAGCCCTTGTTGGACATCTAAGGGGAGAGATTTCCTCAGAAAGCAGAAGCAGCCTCTACTTTCCTCAAGCCCAGCAAGCTATGGGCTTTGGCACCCCCCAAGGGACCTCCCTGAGATAATTCACATGTCAGTGATTGGTAACATCAACACAACACACAGAAGTGCAAATGCTCAGGGTAGAGGAAAAGAGCAGGTCACAGTTCTAAAAGGAGATATGGACATAACTCCTTCCTTCCTGCGTATCCCCACAGATCCTATCTCCATATGGTGCTAAAGCTCAGTCAACTTTTACCAGAAGCGAGATTTTTGGGGAAGGATCCAAGGCACACAGCCTAAAACTAGAATATTATGGAAAAGGTGTTTCAGGCAGCCCTCCCATTCTCTCCTATTGGCTTCAAAACTGGAAGGAAACTAGAGGAATCCAGTGGAAAGGGAACTGTTGACCCAGTGGTCATGTATTCAGAATTGCAGTAGCAAGGGGAAAAAAATATGTGAATGGTCCTGTCTTACCACATACTCATCATCGTAGCCATCCTCCTCCGGGACACCTGTGTTCGGGTCACAGTCTCGAACGGTGAACTTCATAGTGCAACTGAAAGTACAAGCAACTGGGGAACAGGAAAAGCACACAGAGGTCAGTGGGACAAATTCCTCTGCTTATGCCTTCGCTTCCCAAAAAAAGACTGGGAATGGCATGCATTAGCTCTCCCCCCAAAAAGAGTCACAGCAAAGGTCACAGCACTTTTCTGCTTCACGTATGATTTCCCCAGACTCTAATATGAAGGACAGAGGATGTTTTTAGAGGAAGAGTATTCCAGGGCCACAGTGTTACAAGCCTCTTCACAGAATATTGCGGTGTGATTCAGGCAGCAGCAGTCACCAGGAAAAACTCTGCTGGGGTTTCTGTCAAGCGGATAATGATCTCACCTAATCTCCATATTTAATTTCATTTATATCTAAGTTTTTAGTCATCCGAT